GAGTGGGGTCGGAAGCTGGCTTAAAAACTGGACTGCAGAGCACACTGGCTTCCAGGGAATCAGCTGCTGTCCTGTGCTGCAAGCTCTGCAGTATATAGCTTATACTGCAGTGCAGCCAGTTCCCCAGGACTGGGGCCAGAAGATGGGAACTGACTTTTAGCATGCACTGGCTACTGGTTCCACTCCTGGGGAGTTGGCTGCACTGTGGGCTCTGCTGTATAAGCTTTATACAGCACAGCCCACATCAGGTAACTGACCTCTAAGATTTTTAACGTTTACACGGTTATCTAATTAACTGCTTTTTTAACATCCATAATTGATATAATTATGTCACACACAGAAGACTATTATACAGAGTTCAAACCATGTCCAAATAGTTCTGCTCTTAAAACTCTGCCTGGCTGTAAGACCTCCAACTAACCAAAACAAATAAAATAGTAATAATATTAAGTAAATTAAAAGCCTTGTAGTATGATCGGAAGCTCGCCATCATTGAGCTCTGATAGACAATCAAGGAAAACACGTTCCACAGGCAAAGACCCTCTACTGAAAATATTCTTCCATCAACCTCAGAACCACAAGTGCTTGAGGCCAGAGGCTTTGACTTAATATGAGATAGAAAAGACTGTAGCCTCTTAAATAACTGGGTCCCAGAACACATAAGGATTCAAAGAAAGGCTTTCACGTGGAAGATGATTTTCAATTTCTCCATTAATCTGGTTTATAACTGACTTTCCCCATTCACATTCTATGCTCTACTTAAATATTGAACTCAATGAAAAATGCCTTCAGCCACATCTTATTACATGATCTGTAAAACACAGCAAGATTTAGAAGAGTCAACACATCAAAGAATGACCTCCAAAAACTCAGTGCTATAAGATGTGGGGTTAATTCTAGGGATGCTCGATACAGTGTAACAGAATAGTCGTGTAAATACAGAAAATATCGGTTACATGACTATTCAATAGTGCCTGGGGCAGGGCCAGCAGCCAGTGCACTCCTGGCTCCACTCCCAGGGGGCCCCCTTCTACCTCACGCTCCTACCTCTGTATCCGAGGCAGCAGCATGGGGTTCCAGGTGAAGCCAGTCCATGAGGGGAGCCAATTTAAAAACCAGCTCCGCTTGCAGACTGTCTGCCTGCTGCTCTGCACTGTTGCCTCTGACACAGACAGCAGCATGGTATGGCAGCAGTCCCTGTCCATGGGGATCTGTGCTTCCAATGGACAGAGGCAGCAGTGGGGGCAGGGAGGGCAGGTGGCAATGCAGAGCCAGTGTTGGGGGGGGAAAACAGCTTGTAAATCGACTCCCCCAAGCACTGGCTCCTACCTGCTCCTCTCCCCGCCGCTGCACTAGGCAGCAAGGGTGAGGGCATGTGGGTCTGTCAAGTGAATACACATGGGGAGCTGGCCTGAAAGCCAGCTTCCCATGTATATCAGCTCCAACCTATCCCCTACACCCTCCACACTGCTACCTCTCTATCAGAGGCAGCAGCATGAGAGTGGGTGGCAGGGGAGTCTGCTTAAAGCCAGCAACTCATGGGCACCGGCTCCCTCTCCCCCACTCCTTGCTACTTCTGATAATGGGGGGAAAATGCATGTAGTCAAAAGATTAACTGATAAGCCTAGGCTTATCGGTTAATTGTATAGTCGACTACACGTTGACATCCCTAGTTGCACCAGGATGCTTCCCCAGGTAATTAATGAATTGATAACCCATCAAAGTGTTAAGTGTGTCGATTCATTCAAATCCTTTTTGAAGAGTAGGGCTTTTATTAATACACTAGAGATGCCTTTTTAACACCAAAACTGACGCTGTTGGAAGTGACATCCTTTGGATGTGTAATAATATCAAGGACCTATTTTTGTTCATTGAGGAGTCCCTGGCACTTTTCACAAGGACAAAGATGTGAGTATTAGTGAGAGTGCAAAATTCTAATTAGTGTAAATATGTACTTCCTACTTAAATTCTTCCTGTAATTTCATTAGGAATGCAGCATTATTCCTCTCTTCCTGTTATGTAGTGTTTCTGAGCACTATTAAGTACTTCCCACAATCCACTCCAAAGATATCCACATTTCAACAATAGGCAAAGTGATCCCTATATGTAGGGCCAGATCCTGAAGGCCCTATTCACATAAATGAAGGTATTAGATTCATGCGAACAGACTGTATATCTGTACATTGGTAACACATTTTGCATTATGCAGCTGTAAAAAAAATGATTAAAAAAAACACATATACATACAAGTGCTGCAGGAAAAAAAACCAAAGCTCCACTCCCAAGCAGCATGAATTAACATACCATTATATTTTATCTGCCAAACCAGATCACTTCTGCATACCTGTTCTTTACTGAAGTATGCAAAACATGGAAAAACCTTAAATTTACCAAGTACCAGAGGGGTTGCCGTGTTAGTCTGGATCTGCAAAAGCGACAAGGAGTCCTGTAGCACCTTTTAGACTAACAGAAATATTGGAGAATAAGCTTTCGTGGGCAAAGACCCACTTCATCAGATGCATGTGACGAAGTGGGTCTTTGACCATGAAAGCTTATGCTCCAATACATCTGTTAGTCTATAAGGTGCTACAGAACTCCTTGTCACTTAAATGTACCATGAACCTAGACAGTAAATTTGGAAAAGTAAATGGTAAATATGTTCTTTACTGGAAACATCTAATACATGACTTGACTTCAAAAACGCACTATGATTAAAAATACTTTTTTGATTTTATTGCCCATTTATAACTCCAAATTGATTGAAATGATAAAATTTAAACTTAGAGCTTGATTCTGCAGCTTTAAAGTCAATGGAAAAATTCCCTTTCACTTCAATGGAAGGAGGATAAAACCCATAATTCCAAAATGTTGATGAAAATCTCAGTGTTATGACTATCCCATAACATTAATAAAAATATGCAATGTCTTGTATATGCTACAAGTATTCAAAACTCTACCACTACGAACATTGTTAACCCTAATTCATAAAAACCTATAAGAATTGGATGGCTGGTAAAAAGATAAGAATTCATTCGTATTTTGGTCATGTGCAATCCACATATTTTAGATAAACAGTCTGACACCAACACCCCCTTCCCCCCGCCAAGCAGATCTCTGAACACTGTAGAAAGGTGCCTATACACTTCTATTATCTACGCTCGTAGTCACTGAAATGAACACGATGAAATTTTAGGGTCACAGAAGTTATTCTAGAGATTTTCTTTTCTGTTACATGTTTTACTATGCTTTTAAATGTTGTCAATCTATGCAGTAGGTAGAGCTTTATTATTATTACTATGAATTCTTGTGTGTCTTGTAATAAACACATCCATGGCAATGTTTTGACAGAGACATCATGTGTCCACAACTTTGTTAACTGTTTTATTTACAGTTCTGATCTCTATTTTTTAATTTAAATTTTGATTTTTGAAATTGCTACATTTACAGGAAAACTAGAAATGTTTCCTCCACTGAGACTTCAAAAATTTCTGTTTAATTAGTCATTTCCAAACATTCAAGCATCAGGTTCAAATGCTTCTTCCTCACTTTCAACACTCACTTTAACATTAGGTCTGAACCAGCACTAGCAAAATAAAAAATGGAATTCTGTAACTGACGTCAATGGAAACAAAAGCAGTCCCCATCTACAGCTCTTCTCTTATTTTCCTCCTATTTGTGCCCAGTCTTCACTCCTAATGACTCCTTTTGTTCATGTCACCACCTACGCTTGAAACAGCCTCCCATCTAGGCACTCTGTGTTCTTCCTCTCCTCCTCCAAATCCCTCTACTTTTACAAAACCTTCAAACTTTCTTCTCATCACTCCAGATGTCTCCATGCCATTTTGTACTTGTAACTGTATCCCATTATATCTATTGTTAGATCATAAGAAAAGAACTCACAGGGAATTTATCTTTTCTATATTTCTTTAGTGCCATGCAAACTCACAGTGTTCTATTGATATTTCTATCACTATTGATAACATACTTTTAAGCACCATAAGTAAATTACAAGTTGAACCTCTGTAGTCCGGCACTCTCTGGTCCAGCAATATCCGTGATCTGTCATGATTTTAGTTAGCTGGATGTCCACTTATCACGAGTGTGGCTACATTTCCCATAGTCCCATATAGTTTATTTACAGCAACCAGTCCTGGCGCTCAGTGTTCAGTGCTGTTATTTAGCTCTAATTTACCCCTAAATGTCTTCTAAGAGCCCAGTAATCAGTGGAAATGTTGATATCGCTGCTAAAACCTTGATCTCCCATGGTTTGGCTAATTCTCTGGTTTGGAACTGACCAGGTCCCAAGGGTGCTGGACTAAAGAGGCTCAACCTGTATCATGTTGCAGATATAATGTATCTTGCAAAATCAAGTATCCATCTTCCTTACTCCCTTTTGCCTAATGTCAATTGTTATGTTAGATCCTGTTTAACCAAGGTTGTAAAGGGACAGAAAGTGCATCTTTACTATCTCAGTAGAGATATAGAGTTTCCCAAGTACTCATAATAATAAAAATTAAAAGCAGTTATGAATATAGCAATTTAGTAAACCCTACGCAAATGGATGTCCCTGCTGATAATTGGCAAAGATTATGAATATATCTTACTGACTTCTTGAGAGAAATCAGCCTGGAAGCAAGAGTTATTCTTCCTCCCTTACAGCATGGAATGTCAAGTTCATGGCCAGAAGCAAGACTATTCAAGTTTATCTTAATCCAGAGCATTAAATATCCATGTCAGAATGAGAAAGCAAGCATATGACAAAATTTTCACAACTCTGGCTTGTCTGCTTAAGGATAGTATTATCAAGATGAAAATACTTTAGGAAAAAAGCTATAGCCAACAGCACAATAGTTAAAATCACAAATATTAGAGAACGGTAATGGAGGACAAAAGAAATCTAATTAATCTCTCTGCTCCATTATAATAAATAACGATAGAATAAAATTAGGACTTTAACTAAAAACATATGGCATTCTCAAATAAATTATTAAAATACTTACCCGGATTTCAGGTCTGTAATTCTTAGACAGTTAGTAGCATCCAGTCCTACTTTTCCATTTCTAACCACATTGGAAATGAATGGAGAAAGTGCTGGTGAAATTCTGTTCAAGGCAACTTCAGGAGACATTATCTCTTCTTTCCTGCTGGACTCAACTCTGCATGGGAAAAAGCCAGAAATTCCCATACAATGTAAGTAACTCAAAGAAAGAATGTGGATACTAACATTTAAAAAAAAAGTAATAAATTTGATGCATTGGGGTGGGTAATTAGTTTTCTAACATAGTGATGAACTCAAACATTAAGGAATGTTCCGTAATTATAAACAGACTGAAGTACATACCAGTTTATAAGTAAGGAAAATGAACAGAATTTGATCTTAATAATGGCAAATAGCTTGATCAGGAAGGTTACTCACTGAATCACAACAAAATAATGGAACCTTTTACTAGAAATCCAATCCGTATCATTAAGCCAAATCATCTGAAACGGACCAGCCTAACTTCTAAAAACATAGCAATGTTTATAACCCTTGCAAATTAAACGTCCATAAGTGCAAATGTTGACCAAACTGAAGTCAATGGGAATTTTGCTATTAACTGCAATGGGATTGGAAAAGGCCCTCTATGAATATCTTCATATGAAATTTCCAATGTAAACAAAAGGTCAGAAAAATAGATTAATTTCACTACTACAGCTGATATAACCAGGGCTGATGTCCTTTTTCCAATTCTATTTCTTCACTAAATATCTGTTTGTCACTTATTAGTAACAAATATTATGCTTATCACCCAAAGATCAAATTTCATTTTTATAAAGATGTCACTATTCTCATTTTAAAGATGGGGAAACTGAAGTTCAAAGACATAAGGGTAAAATTTTCAGGCGTGCCTACATGACTTGGGTGCCTAAGTCCAATTGAAAGTCAATGTAATTTAGGTGCCTAGGATATTTAGGTGGTTTTGAGAATTTACCCTTATCGAGTGACACTTATGGGTAACTGATTAACTGGTGGCTTGGCTCACATCGGGCAGCCACCCACCCGCTGTAGGTCAGGGACTGCTCCTGCCCGACCAAATCCATTGTGCTGTGGGTGGGGGGCATCCCAGCTGGGCCAGGCCAGAGCAGCTCCTCACCCGCGGTGCGGTGGCCCTGGCCCAGCTGGAGCAGCTCCCCACCCACTGTGTGATTGACCTGGCTTGTTAAAAGAAACTGCGAGCCTGCAGGGTGGCGGGCTTGGTCCAGTTGGAGCAGCTCTGAGCCTGTGGTGTGGCGGGCTCAGCCTGGCTGGAGCAGATCTGAGCCTGCAGTGTGGCCCGGGGCCAGAGCCGACTCCTGTCCCTGGTGTGGCAGGCTTGGCATGGCCAGAGTACCCTGCAGCACAGCATGCCTGGACAGTCTGGAGCAGCCCCCTGCCTGCGGCGTGCCACAGGCAAGACAGGCTGCTCCCAGGGTAAATGGTTCAACCTAGCAATTAACCGGTTAATATTTTAAACGATAATTAACATCCCTAGTTCACATATACAAAGGTATCTGCAGATACCAAATACACAAAGATTAAGCCTGAGATTGGGTGGGAGAGGGGATCTAAAATTTCACCCTTGTCTCTGCTTTCGTTTATGCTATTTTTCCTTCTCTTATCAATCCTGCTCCTTGTAACTGTTGGTACTGTGTGATACCTTTTTTTCCAGGGAACTAGACAAAGATTTGAATATAGCTGTATATGGACTGAATTCATCTATGAATTCTTATATATAAGAATTCATCTATAAAGAGAATAATTAGTTCCTTTCAGTAGAAATCTTCACAATATCAAGTTTTCACTTGTTTTAACATTCACCAATTTGAATCAAATCCCAATTACAAGCATTAGAAGGCAACTAATGGCTAATTCCTACAAATTGATAATTCCCTGTAATTGGTAGCAGTGTGAAACGTCTAATTTAAAAATTTAGCTCTTATGAAAGTAATTCACATGAAAATATAAATCTTCAAGAAACAAGAGCCTAAATTAGCACTTTTAAAACCATTGTATTAAAGGAAAAGCCTGGCACTTTATGACAACCAAGAGACAATGACATTAGCATCTATCTTATACAATTTCCTCAACTGAAAATCTTAAGATTGCCAGTGTGCTATTGTTCATGGCATTTCCAGAACGCACAACAACAAATATCTGTGACTGTTTTCTGCACAGCATGGACTATGTTCCCATAACCTCTTTGAAAGAAACATAGAAATACCCAGACATAAGTGTTGAGAAAAATAGTAGTATTCACTCATTTCCATACAATGTAAGAATTCATCTTTCTGCATAAAATAAAGGAAGCGAGTTCAGTTTTGACTTTGTATTATATGGATGATCTTTTTTTTTCTGATTATGGTTACCAACATAATCTTTGGTCACTTGAAGCTGAACCTACAAGCTTTCCACAATGAGTTTCAGGATCAGGCCCTTGAGCTTTGATTCACAAAATACAAGGATATTGTCAGAATAAAGGGTGAACAGCTCATACTCAATCTCCTCATCTTTTCTGATTAGAAGGTACAGCACATCATTTATTTTAGACCCAGTTACTTCTGCACTACACAAGTGTGTTATTGCACTCTTTATCAATGCTGCACAATGCTTACAATACATACTATTAACTAAGTTTACAAATAATATTCAGATTTTGTAAGCAAGGATTTCACAAAATATAATGATTACAATATGTCAAATTTTAATTCACTCAAATGTTTTTCCCAATTTAATTCTTCTATAGTACTGTAAACAAAATCCAATAGTACTGAGTTAACCAAAGTAAAATGAAAGTGACCACACCAGTCAGATTTCACCAGTTAAAACAGAATATTTGAAAAAAGAAAACAATATGCATAAATGAAGAAAAGTAAATTGTTTAGTACTTTCAGTTTTAATAAACTGTTACTAATAACACAGTTAAAATTAATATATGCTTTTTACTCTTTACAATGACCCTCAAAAACTGAGAAAATTATGAGTGGGAACTGCATCAGGCAGCATGAGGGATCCTAATATAAATGTACCCTTTCCTTCAACATGAATGCAGCATTATGGTTACTAGCTTTATGGATAGTAATCCATGTGAAACCACCAAAGAATTCTAAATTGGCAGGGGAGATGTATTTGATATGACTTTAAAATGTCCTTTCTACTTAATCTCAGATTTTATAATTTCCACCTCTCATTTACTCTACATGCTTATGTCCTTCATTTCAAGGATCTTTTATAACACACAATTTAAAAACTGACATTGTCCCAGTGTGGTCTTCTGATAAGCAATATGGTCCAGACCAGTGTTTCTCAACTAGTGGGACGAGTACTCTTAAAGGGACTTGAGAGAAGTCTTGGGGGTACGTTAACACAACTGAAATTTGGAGAAAACTAAATTTTTTAAAAAAAGTTTTACATCATTTTATTATTTTTGTACTTTTTACAACCAAAACTGTCATCGCCTGCCCAGCTACAATTAAGTTGTTTAAACAACTGTGTTGCAATGGTAGAAAAAAATTGTGTGTCTGAAAACTGTTTGTACTGGGGGTACTTACAATTTTATTTTTAAAAGGAGTACTTTATAATAAAAAAAAAGTTGAGAAACACTGGTCCAGACCACTATGTTACCTCTCCCACCTTCTTTTACAAGGTCTTGTTGGCATACTTTCCTTTGCGAGAATGGGAATTGTAGCTTATTATGTAGATGGTTTGCAAAGTGTCATGTCACTGAACAATACAATCCCAGATTTGCACGCAGGAAACAGAACACTACACCAGGGGTTCCCAAATAAGAGTTACTAAGGTTGACACTAATGAGCATAAAATGGAGCGCTGGCCTGTTGCTCATGCCCCTAACTTTAAAGGCGTGGGGACTGCAGAGATAATAGATCTTCAACATTCAATATTCCTCCTAATCCTAGACAAAGCCACTGGAATCAGGATGTTGCTTCACAGAATACCAGAACACTATAGCAGTGATCTATTTTCTTATCAGGATGGCTGCTGGGACCTATCAATTACAGAAGGGAAACACAGCAATCTAATACAATTGCTTTAAGCAAGGCTGCACATTAGAGGGCAAAACTCTCTGTGGCATGGGTTAGCTATTCCTGGTGTTTGTACAGCTCCTAGCACAGTAGGGTTCTGGTAAACTTCAGGGTCTCCTAGATGTCATTGCAATACACATAACAACAGGACCAGGCACTTCTGGAGACTCCAGCTTTGAATATAGAAACTCATCACCCTCACAAGCAGCTGAGATTAGGACAGTGCGTTGAATACTGAGACCTGTTGTCACCAAAGGCCATGCCTGAGATTAGACCAGTGCACCAGGAACCACTGCCTATCCCACTGTGAAACCCTTCACACCAGGATCTCGCTTGCCAACGGTGGGAAGAGGAGTCCAAAATGCTGGGCGCCCTCCTGCATCCACACTGGGCAGGGGTGTGTGGAGCATAAAAGCTGCATGGGGCAGCCTCTCCCATAGCTCCCCACCGTATCTATACCCCCAGAAGGAGAGGCCTGGGAGAAGACCCGCCCAATTACCCCGTTCCCCGCTCCCATCCCAGCCTGCTGGGGGCGCTACTCCCGCTGCTCCCTCCCCAGCGCTGCCTCCAGGTACCTGCAATCACTACGGGGCAGCAGAAAAAGCCTTGGCAACAGCCGCAGGCACGCGCCTTACCCCGGCACCCTCTGACCTACGGGCGCGCCCCCTGCCTGCGGCGTGCGCGCTCCTGGTCCGCTGTTACCGGGCGCACGAGAGCGAGATTTTGGGAGGGGGAAGGAGAATTTAGCGTAACCGTAGGGAGCTAGTGCACATGCCTGTAGGAATATCCCCTCTCCCAGTGCCGCAGCGAACAGGGAGTTGAGAGGGTGGTCATGGGGGACGGAAAGGGGAAGGAGCGAGATAATGGCGGGACACTGCAGTCAGGCATTTGAGAGGAACAACCTCGGGCGGGTCGAAGGACCTCAATCTGTCGGACGGGCTGAGCTGCCTCCCCCTCCCCCTTCCTTTTCCCGTTGGCAGGTAACGAAGTTCCGGAAGTAGCTGCTCCGGCGCGGGTCAGAGTTCACAGAAGGGTGGCCCCGCTGCTGAGCCTAGCGCAGCACCCCAGGGCCTGGCCCTGCGCCTCTGTCCCGGGCTATGGCAGCTGCCAGTCAGGCTGAGGTGGTGGTGGTGGGATCCTGCATGACCGACCTGGTCAGGTTAGTACGTGGAGTCTCTCGCCTGGTGCGGTGACAAGCGAGCGCCGTTCAGTGCCTGCGCCCGCCCCCTTTGCACGGGGGGGCTAGACTGAGGCGCAGAGTCCCACAGCGGGTCAAAAGCTGCAAGAGAACCCAGGAGTGTCGGCTCCCAGCCACAGATCGCAGTGGACTGGGGAAATCCTCTTCCCCCTCCAGCCTGAGGGAGAGATGCTCAATGCGCTGCTAAGCCGGTGTCAAGTTCCCTTCCTCCTGCGCGGGAGCGAATGAGGAGTTATTGGCCGAGTGTCATCAGGAGAGAAGCACCGAGCTGCCGGTCAGAAGGGAGGCTGGATGGAGAGGGAAGAATAGGAGTGAAGCAAAGAGTGTCGGGGTAGGAGAGGAGGCTGAGCACAGCAGTGTAAAGGAGCTGCTTAGAGGGTTGATTCTAGCTGATATCAGCCATACAAATAAGTGTAGGGAGCATTGCCTTGAGAGGAATGCCTGAGGTTCAACCTCAGTGGCATCGTCTGTTAGTGCTTTGATCAGCCATCGATAGTAACTTTAGGACCGGGAAGATTCTAGGTTTTTTTCGATACATTCAGGCTGTTCAAAGTTCTCTTTGCCAGAAAGGCAAATTAAATTTTTCACTCAGACCATAGTAGTCTGTGAACCCTTTTGTAGACCCTGGCAAGCTTACCAAAAAGACAGTTTGGTTTACTCTTTTGAGAATAAATAAAGTATACAGACAAATCTTCAGTTCAAAGATGATTTTTCTCTGCCACATAAGCAAGAGAGAATGTAATGCACTAACCAAGCCAGAGTAAGGTCTATTAAACAAAGAGCTGTTGAAGAATTAGTTGTTGTGGGAAACACATTTGATTTGATTTTTAAAGTGGGAGATAGCCTCTCATGTTTTTACATCATGAGAATTTTTTTAAATGCTTGGTTCTTGAGGTTTACCTTCTGGTTTTTGAGCCATTGTGGTGCATTCAAGTCACATTTTTAAGTTTTTATGCACAATACAAAGGATAAAACCTTCCTTCTTAAAAATATGAAAGCTAAGATGCTTATGAAATCACTTGATTGCCACAGCAGGGGTTTTGTGATAAGCGCCAAATATCACAAGAGTTGCAATAAAATCACATGGTTTGGCATCCATGCAAAAAACTGCCTGGTCCTGTCAGCAGCAGCTAACTTGCAAATGTAAAAACGTATGCACTGTTTTAAACACACATTTTAAAACTCTGTACCAGCAGATTTTGATTAAAATAAAATTTCAAAAATGTCTGGAACACATCAACACATCATGCAGGGTTTTCTAGCTAAAATCTTCCCCCCACATATACCCCTCAAAGCAACCCATCAGCCTATATCAGCATGATATAATAGTGAAGGTGCAGGTCAATAAAATATATGGAACGGATGACTATGCTAAAGAGTGTGAGAAACACAAATACAGGCACCTATTCCAGGATTAATAAAAAACTGGCCATTGGTTTTGTCAGGAAGATTAAGTGTTTTGTGTAATATGTAGAAAGGATCAGAAGCTTTCTGAGAAAGATAGTCCCTTTATAAGCTGGGATCAAACCTTTTAGAATTGATGCGTACATGTGGCTAGGTGAATGCTCCAGAGCATATTAAAAAGTATTAAAATAGAAAATTTTGTCCTTTATTCCCAGAAAGTTTTGTTGCAAATTTATTCTGCAAAATGTAATATGAAGAGATGCAAAAGCTTGTCACATATATAACACAACTATCACAATTGTTAAATGCAGATACAATCTTAGGCCCTATTAGAAAAAAGTGTATGTGTTTCAGTTGTGTTAGCTGAATGTAATTAAAAAGTGTTTTGGGCCTTGTCTCCACTACATGCTTCTTGCGCAAGAAGCCTTTTGTGCAAGTTTTTGCACAAAAACTTCTTGCGCAAGAGAACGTCCGCACTGCATGGACGCTCTTGTGCAAGAAAGCTCTGATGGCCATTCATAGAATGGCCATCAGAACTCCTGTGCTTTTTCCCGTAGGGGTTTCTTGCACAAAAAACCCTTCTGAAGTGTTCACACTTGCCTTTTTACACAATAGCTGTAGCACAAAAAAAAGTTATGCCTTGTAAAAGGAGGTTTATCTATGCCAGAAAAAGCCCTTTCTTCTGCCGTTTTACTGTTGATTTACTTCCGCAAAAGCACATTTGAGGTGTGTATGCACCACGGGTTTTTGCACAAAAACCTGGCAGTGTAGACGTAGCCATAGGTTAATACATGCTAGCTGGACCTTTTATAGCTGATGGATTAAGGCATATTAGCATGCACATTAACTCGATTTAGCTAATATGATTGGGGGGAAAACTACCCATTTTTGCTCCTTCTGGTCTTTGACCTTATCTAAAATAGTGGGGGAAAGAAAAGGGTGGAGGGTTACCAAAAAAGTTGAGCTAACTTGCTTGAAACTCCACTTAAAACTGAGTCTACATTGGCGGTAAGTGCGGTTTTCAGTTGAGATTGTAAGGCAACTTGATTGAAAAAGGATCTCTTTTCTATGTCGAGAGTTCACTGAGATTTTAAATGCTCTACATTTGCAGTCCAAAAACTACTTTAGTTTTGTATGAAAGTATGTTAATATTCATGATAAGGAAGACTTTATATGGGCAGTTTCAAAGTCTCTGAGGGAGATGTCTCAGAAATGCATACAGAAAGCTAGATATATTGCTGTGCTTGCGAATGGATCTAGTGACAAATTTGAATCTGAGCTAAATCAGTATGCATCAGATTTGTGCAGTATAGGAAACCCTGTACTCCTTTTGCTGCTGTATGATCTGGAAATAAAAACAGAATGAGAGAAAGCTGGTGTTATCATGTGAGGAATAATAGCTTTGTGAGATTTGTAGCTATGAAATCAAATCCTCTTAGATCTTGAGGGAAATAAACTGGAATAGATTTTCTGAAATATTTAATCTGCAACACTATTCCTGGTTATCTCCCTGTGTGGATGCTCTTATTTGGAAATAGTAATACAGGGTACTGAAAAAATTCACAACATATTTTATTCTAGAATAATTTTCTGCATAGACAAGCCCCTACTCTGATTTTAGATAACAAAATAGTATATAGTGTGCTGGTCAAGATTGAAACTGGATGCTCATGTTGTGGTTAAGCATGCAAAGCAGCAACTTGTGCTTTATATTGTGAATCTTCTATATAAAAATATCCTAAAGAATTGTAAAAATCCAGAAAAAAGTAAAGTTTGTGTTGAAAGGCATATAAGGTTCTATGACAATGGCAACTTGCTAACCTGTGTATGACCCGACATAATTTAACAAGAGGTATTAGTTATATCAGAACAATTCATTTATATGTACATTTCAAAGAGATGTACTGGACCAGCAGTTGTGAACCTATTGCTTTGTAATAATGGAAACCAAGAGTAGATGCTAACTATATTAGTCTTTGTTAACGTGTATAATGTTAAATGCCAAATTAGCTTGTAGATGTTAATTCCCTTTCATGTCTTAATTGCTTTATGTTATGTATGCAACTGTGTTCACTCAACCTTTAGATCAAAGATGTGACACTGTATAAATTAATAATATTGCATATCATGTTTTCAGGTTATCTATCCATGATATACAGGCAGTCCCCGGGTTACGTACAAGATAGGGACTATAGGTTTGTTCTTAAGTTGAATCTGTATGTAAGGCGGAACTGGTGTCCAGATTCAGCCGCTGTTGAAACTGATCAGTTTCAGCAGCGGCTGAATCTGGACACCAGTTCCGCCTTACATACAGATTCAACTTAAGAACCCCAGGCGTCCCCAAGTCAGCTGCTGCTGAAACTGATCAGCAGCGGCTGAATCTGGACACCAGTTCCGCCTTACATACAGATTCAACTTAAGAACCCCAGGCGTCCCCAAGTCAGCTGCTGCTGAAACTGATCAGCAGCGGCTGAATCTGGACACCAGTTCCGCCTTACATACAGATTCAACTTAAGAACCCCAGGCGTCCCCAAGTCAGCTGCTGCTGAAACTGATCAGCAGCGGCTGAATCTGGACACCAGTTCCGCCTTACATACAGATTCAACTTAAGAACCCCAGGCGTCCCCAAGTCAGCTGCTGCTGAAACTGATCAGCAGCGGCTGAATCTGGACACCAGTTCCGCCTTACATACAGATTCAACTTAAGAACCCCAGGCGTCCCCAAGTCAGCTGCTGCTGAAACTGATCAGCAGCGGCTGAATCTGGACACCAGTTCCGCCTTACATACAGATTCAACTTAAGAACCCCAGGCGTCCCCAAGTCAGCTGCTGCTGAAACTGATCAGCAGCGGCTGAATCTGGACACCAGTTCCGCCTTACATACAGATTCAACTTAAGAACCCCAGGCGTCCCCAAGTCAGCTGCTGCTGAAACTGATCAGCAGCGGCTGAATCTGGACACCAGTTCCGCCTTACATACAGATTCAACTTAAGAACCCCAGGCGTCCCCAAGTCAGCTGCTGCTGAAACTGATCAGCAGCGGCTGAATCTGGACACCAGTTCCGCCTTACATACAGATTCAACTTAAGAACAAACCTATAGTCCCTATCTTGTACGTAACCCGGGGACTGCCTGTAATGTATAACCAGCAGTTGTCTTATGTTAAGATGTGTAACTCAATTACTGGTGTATGCTTAGAAGTTCATATTATATGTTCAACAAAGAAGAAACTTCAGTCATAAACTGTGCTCAAAACTCTTAGCAGGCTTCAGATATAAAACTGTAACCTGAGGCCTGATCCTTTCACCTGTAGTCTGCTGAATTTTGAACAGAAAAAGTTTAAGCTGTGGCACTGAGATCTTCCAATACCTGGGAAAATATATGGAAAGACTCTGTCACACTTGACATCTCAGCAACATTTGGATTCTGATCTTTTGAGATGATTCCAGAGAGACTTTTACAGGTCAGCGGATCTAACATCACTGCTGTGATCCTGATCTAGAAACTCTGAAAATCACTTGTATGTATATGATTCTTTAAGCATTTAATAACTCTCTTCTTTTCTTTTTTAATAAACCTTTAGTTAATGGTGGGCTGAAAAGGTATATTTGAGTAATATCTGAAATATATATTGACCTGAGGGGTAAAAGTCTGATCCTTTGATATTGGTAGAACTTTATGTATGATGAATAGGTTTTTCAGTAATCTAGTACTATATTAGACTTGCTTGCCCAGATGGTCACCAAGGATTGGAATGCCTAATAGAGACTGTGTTTTGGCTTCTGGTTAACTAGCGTGGTACTGCAGAATTTCTTTTTTTACTGGTCTAAAGAACCAGTTTTGGGGATTGTGTGCCCTGAGTGTTGCATTGTCAGTGGAGTCCATATAGGTATCCAGTCACAGTCCCAAAGAATGATGGCAACATCAAGC